TTTTTTTTTTTTTTTTGTTTGTTTGTTTGTTTGGTTTTTTTTGGTGGGGTAGGGGGTGGGGAAGAGGAGAATTTCTGGGAGTGTTTTTTTTGGTTTTCGACACAAATCTGTTTTATCCTGCATCCTGCCCTCAGCCTGGGAACTGAGGAGGACTGTTATGTTCAGGAGTCTAATGGTGAGGTAGCTACAACTGTCTCATGATGGAGTCCCAAGAAAGCAATTCCAGATTATCCTTTTCACCATAATCTGTGCTTTCATGGGAGGGACAAAAAGTTAAAAATCACAGGCTCTGATTTTTGTTCAGAAACCATTCCTATTTCCTTTATAGCAGGAATGCAGCTAGAGCAGTATGTTGTGACATGGAAACATGGGTGCTGCCCTGCCTTTGTAAATATTGATGTTGTTCTGAAAGAAAGTTGCAATAAAAGAGAAACAATCTGAAATTCACATTCAGTTCTTGTTCATTCTGTTACTGACTCTAGTGTGTATCTACAAAGTGACCACTGTAAATCTACCCAGATCCATCAAGTATTATAAGCATTGTACCAGAAACAGAAAAAGGAGGTGAAGCAAGCCCTTGGGGAATTCAGCAGTTCATTAGACTGTGAGCTGGAGTTTTGGGGTTTTTTTTCCTAATACCATTACTCTTTCCTTTCTTGTGCTCTTTTCCTAGACCTCTTAAAGCTCATGGATCCACTGTCAGGGCTAGACTCTGACCCTGTTGCTGTGTTTGGGTTCCCTTCTTCTGGGGCCAAGAGCTCTAAACTGGACATGCTGCAACTCTGGTTCTCCTCTTGGTGGTCCACGTGGCACACATCCTGAGCAGCCAAAACTTGGAGTGGGCTTTTGTTACAGAAGAATTGTGAATGGGGACTGGAAAAGTAGCTGCCTCTGCTCCCTTCCCTTTCTCATGAGGAAATCTCCTGCCTTGATGTGGAAATTGTAGGTTTTCATTCGGGACCATGTCCTTTTACCTGCCTGCAGCTGTGTGCTGCACCCCTTGATGAAAATGGAAATAGTGTTGCAGCTGTTTTCCACTCCCAGGAAGAAACACATTTCTGGCACAGCCTTTCTTCTAGCACCAGTCTTGTGGGCACTCTGAATGTACAGTCTTTTCCTTCTTAGATGAGGGTAAATTAAAAAAGAAGTGCAAAAGTTTTCTCAAAATTCCCAAACCAAATTCTTTTTTACTTAGTTGGTGCAAGAAACACATGGAAACATCTTGTACACCGTCCACAGCCATAACAGCAGACCTGCACCTCATTGCCTGCAATCCCTCATAACTCTTTAACATCCTTTGAGCTACAATTTTTTTATTGGACTCTCAGGGACCTGGGATCCAATCTAACCTGAAAGCTGTCTGTCTGTACTGCTATGATACCAAACCCAGCTCCTCTCAAGCTGCAGTTCATCTCTGTGATTTAAGCAGTGTTAGGCACCCTCCTTCCTTCCTTCCTCTGTAGATGCTCACCTTCCTGCTGGAACCTATACTGTTCCATTCCTCCTTCTCATAGGTACAGCCAGACATGCCCTATTCACCTCCCTCATACCTGCCCCTCTTGATTTCCACACATGCAACCCATCACAGCTCCCTGACAAAGGGGGATGCTTCACTGCTTGCCAGCTACTGTAGAATTCTTGTATCAGCAAAGGGAAAGACCAGGCACAAACTAGTTTTTGTGTGCCACAAGAAAAGACCCCTGAGAACTGCTGAAAAGTGCTATCTGCCAGTAAAAGTCAGGGTAAATCCATCCATTAGGGTTCCTTGCTTTCATCCAATATTACTGAAAACTACTCTCCTTTAGTTTGAAAGGAAATGAAGTGATTACCCCCTATTATAGACACCTACAAATATTTACTAAAATAATGTAGCAGAGGGATTTTTTGGAAAGTTATCACAGCTTAAACATTCCCATTACTTTGAATATGGTTTGATTCTGCTTCAGGTACAGACGTTTTCCTGATGCTTCCTAGGCAGGAATCCAGATAGCTGATCCCCAATTATGCCAATTCCCAGAGGGCTTGATCCATCACTGATGCAAGTCAACAATGCAGCTCTGCATTTGATAGGATGCTGCCAGATGAGAAACAGCAGTGCCCAGGAAAAAGAAAGCACACAGGGATCCTTATTGTCTCAATACTGGGACTCTGACAGGACAGAGATAGAGAGCTCTAAAACCTGAGTCCAAAAGGCTGGCTACTAGAGCCACCTCGATTTGCTTAGATCAACTCAGTACCTCCAGGTGTCTTTCCCCTGTGACTGACAGCCCGTGTCAGTCCTACAGTTTAATTTCTTTATGGTCCTTAAGAACCAGCCATTATTGGAGAGGGACTTGAGTGGCTTTTACCCTGTGGATGCTGTATGAATATAAATGTCAAGCCAGAGATGTCATGCCAGCAACTAACAAGGGGCTTTAGAAAAATAATTCCCTGGCCAGCACACAGTAAGCATGGGCTCATTCACCTAATCAGCTTTTGGGCTCCTCAGTGCTAAGGCTGCATTCTGTTTTTTTCAAATGGCATTGCACCAACACTCCTCTGGGGCAGCTACTCAGAAAGTGTATTTGTTCTTTCAGGGTTTGCATGTTCAAGAAAGAAAAAAAAAAACAAACAACCAAAACCCCACCCCCAAAAAAACCT